AATGAATTATGCCTTGTGTGCGGTACGGAGGCCGCAAGCATGTGCGCTAGGGTCACCCAGCTTCACCTTTTACATACCTGTGTCTTGTTCAGGAGAAAAATAATCGCTGACATAAAGGTAAGGTTCTTTTTAAGGTGACCTTTGTCTATTATTATCTATGATAAGGAAATAAATAAAATGAATTTAGGGCAAATAGGAACAAGCTTTGGTGCACCTGCTGATTTAAGCTAAGTGTGAAATGAACGCCACAGTTTAGGGGCACGGTGGATGTTCTCGTTGATCCTACTTTATCTGTTTCACATTTTCTTGATATTCCTCAAACTGCATTATTTGACTGGTTGCAACAATTGATCTCCATCTCGTTATCTTTCCTCGGCACGCACCCGGAAAATAAACATGAATCAGTGACATTTGTCTCTGTTTTTTGGGGGGCAGTTTGCTCTCATATCTAAATCTAGATAAACTTCAAGTATTCTAACCGGGATTTTTCCCGCCAATCCAAATTCTGCCACTGACGTAATATTGCTCGACCCGTTTCTACATCTGGACGTTTTATACCATGTCAAATGAAATAATTTTGACCCAAATTTCTGGCCAATAACCAAGATCACCATGCCTTGCTATGCATTTTTAACAGAAGGAAACATCGGCATCTGGTAATATTATTTGTTTATTTAAAATCTTTTTTAAGTTTTCAAATTCGAAAAGATAATAAACTCAACTAGGAAACGTAAACATAGAAAAAATATAGTTTTGGTTCGTTTTCAAACGTGGCCAGTATACCAAAAGGTGAAGTTCATTTATGAAGCATCAGCAACTTAATGTGATAAGCGATCTGGACAACACCTTAGTCCATTTCCATACTTATTCCAAATACCAATGCGATCTTATCAGGTCTACGGTTCAGGGAGGGGTCGATGTTTCAATAATAAAAACACTAACAACTTCGTATGAGCCCTGCCCCGCTTTAGTGATTCGCAAAAGTGAGACAATTATATTAATAAAAAATGAATAAAAACAAACCAAAGACAGCATATACAAATATATGTGTTACAGGATTAGTCTGGAGAGGAGGGATGGAGTCTCAAGAAATCTTGTCAATATCACAGGTCGCTCAGTGCATCCTTTCCATTCCCGACTCGAAGAAAGCAATCAATATGGAAATTAACGGGTATCTGATTTGCTTTGATTGATTGACATTGCTTTCCTTTTAAATGGTTACATCCTTGTGTACCAAGCCATTTTTTTGTAAATAAGTACTGCAAATGTCAATCGCTTTCAAATACATAAGGCAGGAACACACAAGCGGTAAGAAGGTGATTCGCGTAAAACTCATGAACGCTGTTTAAATTCGTTGGAAATACTGTATATTCCCTTGTTTGGCCAGTCAAATAATTAAAATGTTAATGTAGATAACCTAAGGAACTCACTGACACAGTGAAGGTTAAGCGGTGTCCACATACAGTACAGCATTAATTCAGATCACCAAATATTTGAAAGGCATAGAGGTGAAACACTCCACAAAACGGAAACTGTTTGTGTTTTCGATATTTTCACCCAAAGCTCAATGCAAAATCATTCATTTAAAATTCCAAAAAAAACTTTTTCAGGTTATTTTTCTAGAGGTCTTGTGGTCACGACGTTATCATTACTTATCATTACTCTGGTTATTTTGAGACTTATCGCGTGACACCAAATTTCGATATTTTTTAACGACAGTAATGTTCATTGCAATCCCAAAACTTAATTTTGATACGAGAATTCAGTCTCTTATGCCCAAAAACACATGTTCTTATTTGTGGCTTGTTGAAATTTTTCATTATGAAAGGTATACAACATTGACCTTTAAACTTAATTTCTCATCAATCCCAGAAATGAGAATATTATCTTTTATCAAACATTCTCTCTTAGTGGGAGGAATCCAATTCAGATGTCTGTCGCGGTAGAATGCAGAAGGTCAGAGAAGTCCGTGAGAGCGACACACGTGTGTCTGAACATACTCAGAGACGATCTAGGTTGCCTATCAATTAACAACCTCTGTGCCGGGGATACTTCGTTTTCTTTTATTAGGCCGATTATGTAGTGGTTTTTCTACGTAGAGATCAAGCTTTGAACCGGCTGATATACTTTTTGAAAGATAAAATTTCCCATTCAAAATATCGCCAGCGATCAGGTCTGAGAAGTGACTACAAGTAAAGTTCAATGATCGATTCGGTCAAAGTTGAAAGTATGACATTTCACGGCGAGACTAAGCTAAGGCAGTGTCAAACGCACGCTGTCGCTCCTCACTGGCACTGCGGAAATTTAATAAATGGCAGTTGGCGAAAGAGATCCGACCTTGTCTGCGTAATCTCCACCCATCTCCGTGTCCAGTCACCTAATGGGAACCGATCCTGGTGCGGCGATAAAGTACATGCAAATGAGACGCTGGACTCATTGGACAGGCACGTCAACTACCGCGTCAACTGACCTCCTCTGGGGATTTTGCACAGGCTATAGTACGCCTGGTCATTAAGAGACATAATTTTCTTTTGCAGATTGTTAAAAACCTAGCGGACGTCAGAGAGCTGTGTATCAACCCCGAGACAAAGATATCGTAAATTTTTTCACATAATGGGAACTACTTTATAGAAAAGGTGAGTGAATTAAGGGAACTCTTGGAAGCGCGTATATTTACATCTTCTAGCACACCAGCTAAAAGAATTGGACGGACGGTGACGTTCTAATAATAGACATATCAGCATTGTGTAGGTTCTCAAAATCTAAGACATGACAATGGTGCGTATCTGGGCGAATAAGGTACAGTAATTCTCACATTTCCAAGTATAAAACATGACAAACGATATGTGGAATGCAAGGCTAATGGTTTTGTCACAGCTTGCTGGAGTAAATGGGAGTAGATGTTTTAAATAGACATTTGGAGGGTATAGAACTGCTAATTTACTAAATTACCCGCGAACCTAGCACATCAGGAAGACAGAGAGTTGCGTAAATTAAAAATGCTAACGGAGTACAAGGCGATACGGTTGGTGGGCATGCTCTAGGTGAAGATCCGCACTGATGTAACATTCTAACTAATCTTGATATCAGTAATTTGAACTACGCACTACTATCGGTGAGAAAGAGCCACATTAAGCCAGTGTCAACGACCATGACCGTGAAAAGTGACAGTGAGAAATACTTCAAGTAGGTGAACATTCAGGAAAAAAATCGCTGTAATCATAAGTAAAGCCACAAAGGTACTCAGATTAAAGATAACCTGACCGCGAGAAGCTTGCCTACTTAAAGTGTGGGAGAAAGTATTGGCATTTGCTTTCATGGCATTAATTTAATACCTGTAGCCTCTAAGAGAGATTAATGTAGAATGTAATACGTCTAAGAGCAATATATAAACGCATTAAAGGGACCTAGAACAGAAGAGATCTCTTATATGGTGTCGATGATGACCTATTTCAGTTCACAGATAAATCAAGGCGGCAGATGATAAAAGCTTCCATTTTATTTATCTTGAAAGGAAACTTAAGGGCAGAAGGTGCACTCACGTGAGATAAAAATCTGGTCAAAATTTGTGTCTTTGACATTTCATACGTTCGTCTAACTTTTAAGTTCGATATGTTACCGTAGGCGTTGATGCATATTGAAAGCGATCCGCACGTCACTGTTGATGCCGTCTTGATACAATAAATATGTCAAAGAGAGGGATTTTATAACTGGTAATTACATTTATCATGCAATAATTTTAAAAAATCCTACGATATAGCTAGTGAACAAAAATGAAAATACTTTGAAAATGGTTTAAATTTCCAACAGTGTTCTGGTCAGAAGCACGCAAAACCAAGACTCACTAAATGATATGCTGCATATACCTGGTGCAGACCCCTCACAGCTCAAGTAGAGATTACTCTTAATCCTGTTTTAATGTATACTCACGAATATTATGTAAGAAGACGAAACAGAGAAACATGATAGCTACTCGTAATTGAAAATTAATAGCAGGTAACGCGGCACCAAGACCAAGGCACGAGGTTATTTCACTCGTTTTTCACTCTGGATCTACTTTGTTTTTATGTGTTATTCTGTTGTTCATACTTGATTGGATAGTTTAATTAGTCCAACTTTTATAATGCATTAAGCAGGGTATTTTTTAGACATTTTCAATTTGAACTGGCATCTCTAAGTAAATGACAGTTATTTCATCCTATATCACATGACAATGTCAATTTCCTTAAGGCTCCATTTCCATAGGCACCATCAATCAACGTGGATCGACTCAACTCTCGCTGACTGCAATCAGCTTAACGAAATGACTCGCATCCACCTGGCGTAAAGTAAAATACAGAAATGCTGGTGATTTTATGAACACAGTGGAAACAAGAGGAGGTGTGTCATTGAGTTAAGTTGATTGCAGTCAGCGAGAGTCCCTGCAGAGTTTGTTCGATCCACGTAGGCCGATGGTGTCTATGGGAACAGGGTCTTAGTCGCGGTTCATGCATGACATGGAGCGTAAATAACACACTTCGTGAGGTGTGCGCACACATACCGCCAAACGACTATAACCACTCTGTGGTAACCAAAACTGATCTCCCTGAAAACTTCTGTTATAATTCTATTTCTTATTAGAAAGTATATGTTTAGAATTCATACTATTGAAGATGTATGCACAAAAGATGAGGTTCTGAAAACGTGTTAGAGAATAAAAACCACACTATTTAAACGTATGCAAACTCACGGAACAATGTGGGTTTAGTGACGCCAATTGCAATTTAGAAGAATGCGTAACGAATAAGTATTGTTTAAAGTAGAGGCTTTTTAATTCACCTAAAATCAGTTTCCCTATTTTAGAGCAAGAAAATCTTTATTTAAATCAGGTGACATTCCCCCTAGTACTCCACCTCTCCCAGTAATTATTCAAACTGACCCTAAACAAAGTAGCAAGCAGTCCCACCATCTATCAGTAGGTTGTTAACCTGAAGGCTGAGTAGTGATGTAGGCAAGCCTGGAGTCCTGTCCTGGTATACTTCTGCTGCATACTAATGTGGCGGCTCTGTCACCTTTCCTCTGATGGTCTTTGCCAAGACCAAACGCCCAACAGGTGCGTGTCCCTGTGGCACAAATGTCCAAGGCCGAGTTTAACCTCGCGGATAATTTTTACGTGTTGTTTATAGTCCTTGCTTTTATACATACTTTAAGCTGTGCCGCTGATTTGCTTCACTTTTTTTTTGTTCAAGGCATAAAATCATTAGCATGCTTTTGCCCCTTGCTTCTCCTTGATATAAATGTCCCTTACATGAAGAATGCAGCCAGGTGCTTTTAGGAAAAGTAAAAATGAAACCACGGAGTTTGTTTGGTTTATTACATGGGGTAACGCACCAAACTTGTGATGAGAGAATAGACTCAATGTAGTGTCGAAACGGACGTGTTTGCACACATTACACTGCACTTCGTCCGTGCTAGAAATGTATCTTTGGGTAATACAAACTTGCTGCCATGACCATTTAAAAGCAAAGTTATTTGGACCAGTTGACATGTGCTTCGTGCATGATGTTGCGCTTGAAGATCATGTCAATACAATGGCGTAGGTGACTGGGTGTGTCCTACACTAAACTCTTCACTTTGCGAAGTTCACCGCCTAAAATGAGTATTATGATCATCCCAGATATGATCTAGGGTTAGGGGAAGGGGTGTCCATCTGTCCATAAATTGGTCCTGATGGATATAGGCACGTGTAGATCTGTAAAAGAATCGTCGGCCTTCGCGGATGACGATTTCACGGTCCAAACACAAGACTACTGTAAGGAGTCTGCCTGTGATAGGCATGATGAAGTGACAACCAATGACAATTAATGCATGGGAATTAACGCATTGCATATTTATGTGTTCGGATGTCTTTGTAGGTGACGTTTTGACAGCGACTCATATTACTTGAGGTAAATCGGTACCCCATACATGCTTAATGTCAATTTATTTTTACAGGAGGATACGCCAGTCTATATAGAGCACATCGCCGACTCCGTGTACTCATTGGTACATCTTTCACTTTTGGATGTTCTACGATTTTGGACTCTGTGCAGTGGTAGATTTTGAGGATGTACCGCCATAGGATTTATACCTGTTGCACCCCTGTGGCGCCACCAATGCTTGCTCATTAATGCCCCAACTCAGAGAATAGGGGGATTTGAAATGAACGTGTTGCTTAAAATTTAAAAGAACAACCAATTACATGGATTCTAAAGAAAAGAAGAAGAAGAAAAGTAGCTCCAAGGACAAGAAGCGAAGACACAGCTCAAGTTCCTCGCAGGTAAGCACACAGTGATAGTCACTTACAATCAGAGCTGGCTGTTTCAAATCTACCTAACAAATAGCATTTTATCTTGTTTCGCTTAATCATCCATGCAGAGCTTTATTTTATCAGTACTATATTGAGAACAACGCAATTTTTTTTTCCAAATTTTTCCAAGCTGATTGCATGCGTGTCATAGACCATTATTCGGTGTTGTCAATCTCTAAAACTTTTATAGATTGCCATGTCTGACATCGACGCGTGTTGTATTAGGACTCGTTAGTGCACCTGTCAACGAGTTGTCTTGGCACAGACTAATTTATATAATTAATGACGAGAAGGTCAACTGTCTTTTCCTCGACGGCAATTTCTGAATGGCGATGAATATAAGATCACACCTAACACATTTCAGCACAATCAAGCACCGCCAATACTCCTTTGGGCAAATGCATTAATTCCATTTTGTATCATGTTGAATACTCGCTTTTCTACATTCTTCAGTGAAATATTCTGTGGAAAACTTTTGTAAAATTCAAGTGCCTACACAGCTATGCAAAACTGGTATGAAAACTGCTTGTGTTCCCAGTGGTCAACTCGTTCTGAAGAATATCCGATTTTGTCAGGCATTGAAAATCGCTTGTAAAATATGAAATTTAAACTTTAACATCTACATGATAAACCACAAAAGCAACAGTAAAGGGTAATACTAGTTGCGCAGAACACAAGAGGTTTGAAAATGTTGCTCAATAGCGATCCTGAAAAATCAATCTTCGATTTTATCGAGTTTAGGTCTGGATCTAATTCCCAATGATTTTCAATTAGTACACGCTATATTATGTTACAGTAAAAACTTAACACTGAGGTGTGCAGCGAATGCCAGGTTATCAATATTTAGCAAAATATTAATCTTTCAAACCCATTATAAAACCATTATAGAAAGTTAATATTTCTTATGTAACATTCAGTAAACTTCTATAGATTATAATATTATTGGCTGTATTCTATCATTATGAGTGTGACCGTCGGCTAGGGTTTGACGGTATTTAAACAAAACCAATGTAATGGCGTGTAACAATCCACGTATAGTAAAGGTTACAAATTGCTGCATATAATAGTAGAGGACTGTATTTATTGAATCAACATTAGCATTGAATGGCCGGAGAAAGGCAGGCATTTGATGTAAGGTAATTACGCACGAGAGTTCCCATGGACAAAGGTGCAATATGTGCCCCTCAATGGCGCTATTGTCACAGTGGGATGATGGAGAACGACATACCTGTACGAGAAGCTGGTTATTATTCGCTGGCGTAAGTAGGGGCAGGCAGAGTGTCAAGGCATCGATCAGACTTTAGAACTTTGGGTTTTATTCATTTTAAATCAACCGGCAACGACGCGGAATAGAAGTGACATTTTACCAAGGATGACCCGGGCCCCAATCGCCATTCTGGCCACTTACTTCGCCCAGTCGGACCACAGGTTGACCAGAACGTGTAAATGATGATTAAAAGTGAGTCAGTCCATTTTGCTGACCACCGGAAGAGCACCAAGGCCCAGGCCCAGTGTTTGTATGCGNCTTAAAGTTTAGCGATCTCAAGAGATGAACAAATATGGCCAGTAAATCACCGAGTAAACCCAGCAAAGGAAAGCGATCCTCAAATACCTCTCCCCCTAAGGTAAGACAATGTCACAGAGTAAATATACTGACAGTAAGAACTGTTGTAATACAATAGTTAAGCCGCCGGCCACCCTTGTATGTAGTTCCTGTGTTGTGCTGCGTTATAATACAGTGAGGGTCGGGGATGAGGAAGGCGGGATAGCCCTAGAATGGACCGTGTCTTACACTGTGATCTGCACTGTTAAGTACATGTCGTGTGAACAGACAGACGGCTGGTTGTAGAGACAAGTGGTCCCTGTGTCTTCAGACGGTAAGATAACATCATCTATGACCATTCCAGGTGTGTAATTAGGTTAACTGGGATGGCCAACGTGCGTGGGATATCACGACGAACACCTTGCGTGTGTGAGCGGAATGATGACAACCTTGATCCTTTTATACCGTTTGTGTACATGTCAATTTAGTGTACACACTGGCATCTGAAAATTGAATGAACGATAAAGTGTTCGAACTGAGCCACCAAGGAATAGCTAGTATACCCAGTGTGTAGGCTAGTGAGGCATAGCATGGTATGCAAACATTTCGATAATACATCACTAGGGCGAAGTTTTTTCTCATGCCATACATACGTTCATAGGTAAAAGACACCTCGGTTTGTTGTTGTGCTCAGTGTAAAAGAGACCCCCCCTCCCCCCTCCGCACCCACCCCTTCCTCGGGGGTAACATTTCAGGCTGATGGATAATGCTTGGCTGTGCTGGTAGACACGACCACAGAAAAAGGGGGTTCAGATTTGAAACTCATACTGTCCTGATCTTGAATTCACAGTCATTCGTATATTTCTTAGCAGTACAATCAAAATGTAGAAAGAAAATATTGGACAGATACCACAGCGCAGTGCCACTTAGGTTGAACTTTGCTGTATTATTTGCACGGTAAATTCCATCTTGCAACAAGCTGTGACTTGAAATCTGGGCACTTGAGGAGTCGAGACTATTTATTGTCATTGATATTGAGAATTAAGTGAATTATATATTAATAACAGTCATCATCATGGTTTATGATTATATCGGGTTTTTGTCGCGACGAACGCCAGACGAGTGCTAGACCATACCTGACCGTCCCTTCCCCTCTCTGTTACAGGTCAGTTATTATTGAGACTAGATATAGGCATATATGAGATATCAATATTCTTGGTTATTGTGAGTTATGATATTGTGAGTTATAATATTGAGTTTAAGATGTTTCTAGTGATTTGATTCACTAGCAGCAAATGAAAATAGATCTTAATTTTAAGACGAGGTCTAATATAAAACGGGAAAAACGCTTGAAACATACCATTTGACAGACTCCAGTTTCACAGAAAACATCTTCAGTCAGTTTTGTGCGTAATTACCAGGGGCAGATCCAGGAATATTTGAAGGTTGGCCTGGGGTTCGGGGCCCGCTAAAGGGCCCAGAAAATTTTAAGTGTTTTAGAGTATTAGTACTATAAATCAGTTTAGTACTATCGGTTTAGTACAAGTACTATAAATCAGCTGGTCAAAATTCTAATGCCAAGAGGGGAATATTGGCGTGATTTTTTTCAGAAACCGAGGGGGGGGGGGGGTCGCAGAACCCCCCTACCCCCCCCCCCCCCCCCCCCATCCCCCCCCCCCAAAAAAAAAAAAAAAACA